TATCAACCAAAGTCTACGTCCACTACCTTAGCTATCCACACTAAGGATTTTCCAACAAATTCACTAATTTGTTCTTTCTTTTGAGGCCAAAGAGATAACCTTACAACTCCCACAAGAATATACCCCAATTCTTGAGAACACTCTTTTCTCAAAGAGAAGATTACAAATTTGCAAACTTACAAGAAAAACCTCACAAGGAAAATATGTTTGCACAATTCTAGAATAAAGAAAGAACACTCAATAATGAATACAATTGAGCACAATAAGTGTTCTTGAAAGAAAAAATGAATATTTAATGAAAAATAGGCTTGAAGTGCTCAAACTTGAGGTTTGATGATTTCTCTTTGATTCTCTCTTGATTCTCTCTTGATTCTAGTTGCTTGTTGTTTCTTGTTTTTGATCAATGGCTTCTAAGCTTGTTTAAATACACCTTGAATCACTTCTGAACGTTGGGGATGATTAGTGGAGTCAATAGAGTCGTTTAAGTGTGAAAATAATTAATTAAAACAGTTGGGAGCGTCTGTGCATCGATGCATACCCATGGTGCATCGGTGCATCAGTGTAAAATTCAAATATTTTGACCGTTAGACCCTTAGTGCATCGGTGCACTAAGGGTGCATCGATGCATCAATTGCATTCGATGTTTCAAAATAGTCAGAGTGCATCTATGAATGGCTGGTGCATCGATGCATCAAATGAATTCGATGTTTTCATAAAATCCTCAGTACATCGGTGCATGGTAAGTGCATCGATGCATGAAATGCATTCGATGTTCAATTTAATTCATGGTGCATCGATGCATGGATTGGTGCATCGGTGCATCACTCTAAAAAAATTGATTTTAGGCTTGATTTTGGTTCAAAATACTTTGTGAAAATTGTTTCAAAAAATATATTAAGTATAAAACACAATTTTACACATTTAGTAAGGTTTGAAATTGATCTTAAAAGACTTGGAGTGATAATTTGATATTCGATTAATTGAATCGAATATACTTAGAAAATCTTTTGTAAAATCTTAAAATTCATTTAAACTAATTTGTTATATCGAAACACAAAAATGTTTTCAACACTACTTCTCCCTCTCAATTACAAAAAGCAGAAGACAATGAAGATTTGGTGGACTCAAAGCCAACGGATTCTAACTGTTTAGTGGATATTAATCTTAAGGAATGTCAAGCAAGTGATCAACCATTTTCTGTATTTCGATCCTCTGATAATTTCTCTACTTCTCTGGATGTTCTCCATACCCTTGGAACTCATTCTCCTTCCACTCCCTGTCTAGAAGCTGATCCTGACCTTCAAGCTGCTAATGATCCCATCAATCCAGTTCATCAAAGCCCTGCTGATAGATTAAAAGCCTCATCTTCTTCACCTACTAAAAGAGGTAGAGGAAGGCCTTCAAAGGATAAACCCAACAAAGCTCTAGCAGGCTCTAGTAATAGGTTTGAGATTCTAAACTCGATTGAAGAGGCTCAACCTATTTTTGAAAATCATGGTAAAAAACCAAGAGCAGCAGCCTCTGGTGTAGCAATACTGATCAAAGAACTCAAAACATAAAAGAAGTCAAATCTTGGAAAGTCTAAAAGTTCTATTGTTGGTAGTAAAGGAGGGGAACCAATTCCGTTATCCCAAGCTTAATGATTATCTCTTTTTGGAATTTTAGAGGATTGAATAATCCTCTCAAACAAGGCAAGGTCCTTAGAAGGGTAGTCCTTAATAAAGTTGATATCATTTGCTTGCTGGAAACCCGCGTTAAGTTATACAAATCTGTTGACATATTAGATTCTACCTTTGAGCATTGGAATATTTATTCCCATTATGACTTTGCAGCGAATGGCAAGATATGGTTAGTGTGGAGAAAAGACTTAAATACTTCTTTATGCTATGTCTCTGCTCAGAGTATCACTATCAAAAGCCATTTCAAAAACAATACCTTCTTAATTACTGCAATTTATGGTTGCAATGATGAAATTACAAGAAGAAATCTTTGGTAAGATCTCCGAAGCATTGAATCAAATTTTAGTAATCTTCCTTGGATATTGGGAGGGGACTTTAATGTCATCCTACATCCACATAAAACTTCTGGTCATGAGCAATTAAGAATGGTCACCTCCCCTGATATGATTGAATTCCAAGAAGTCACCATGACCTTCAACTCCAAGACCATCCATTTTTTGGTCCTACTTACTCATGGAGTAACAAGCAAAATGATAATTTTCTTGCTCGTAAACTTGATAGAGTTCTCATCAACCCTCTGTGTTCTGAATCTTTTCTTCACTCATTTGTGGAATTCTTGGCTCCTGGCTCATCTGACCACTGTATGGCTTTGGTGTCTCTTCACAAAGAGGTTCAAACAAATATACCCAAGCCTTTTAAATTCTTTAATTGCTGGACTCTCCATCAAAACTTCCTCAATATATTGAGATTATTTTCCCCAAAAATTTTAATGGATTCCAAAACAAAACAAAAAAATTCAGTTAGTAAGATGATGTCGACTCAGCAAACTTAACTACTTCGATCAATGATGATTCTAATTAGAGAGGTTTAATTAATTGTGAGTTTTCAAATAAGAACTCATTTGATCCATAATTAAAAGTGACTTTTGAGTATAATCAGAGGGGCCAAATGTATATTTCAATTAATAAAATTGGATTATTCAAATTTCAAAGCTGGAGACAAATTAAAATTTTCAATTAGAATACATTGTAAAACAAATTGGTGATATTATTCTCCACAAATATGGAGATCTTATATAGGTTTGAATGTGGAAGGCATATCCGTATCAGCCCAACTCCGACGACCAAATATGATGAAAATAATGAACTTTAACATCCTTGAATGTGAAACGATACCACTTTATTTTATTAAACAATTTGATGTTGCTGTCAAAATGCTAAACTAAGAGGGTTTAAAAGATCGGATATCTCGTTCTTATGAATTAGATATGGATCCCTATATTGTCAATTTAAAATTTTGGATATTCGATTTTGTTTTGGATTAGATCATATTCAAAATGCACAGAAAAAAAGTCATTTAAGTTTAGACAAGAATGAGTGTAAATGGCACACATTTGTGGGTTTCTCTGGGTGCACATTAGTGGGTCTAATGGAATCTGAAAACCTTACCATTTCGCCGGCGATCTTTCGGATTCTTCACCGACTTTCTTTCCATTCTTCTTATGTTCTTCAAGTCTTTCATATCACCCGGTTTTTTGATGGACTGGCGCAATTTTTTCTCCTGCTCAGCCGGTCAACAACTACATTATTTTCCCCCAAATGAGAAAGATGGGATCCCAACTATTCATCCACCGCCTGAAGTATTTGAAGCAGGAATTGCTGAGTGAAAAATCTCTCTCGTTGGGCAAGTGCTCGGGGCAGCTATGAACTTCTCATCATTACGGAAGATTATCGAAAGCTTGTGAAAAAAACCCTTGCAAGGTGCTAAAGTTCAGGTTAGTTATTATGGACCTAATCTTTACATGTTTTCCTTCGATTCTGATTCTGCTCGTGACTGGGTATTGGAAAACGACCCTTGGCATATATTTAACAAACCTTTAATCCTTAGAAAGCGGGATCCTAACATGAAAAAATTGCATTTTGACTTATCTAGAATTCCAATTTGGGTTCACTTGTATAATGTTCCACTTGAACTATTCTCGAACGAAGGCCTAAGCTACATTGCAAGTGCCATATGTTTGCCTCTCTCTATGGACTCTATTACAACTTCTAAGTCTAGACTAGAATTTGCTAAGGTCTGTGTTGAAATTAGGGTTTCAGATGTGATTCTTAAACATGTTAATGTTATTCTTAACAATGGACAAACAACTTCCATATCTGTCGAAGTACCTTGGCTTCCACCTTGTTACAAATCATGTAATTCTTTCGGTCATAATGCTAAAGGTTGTAAGGCTAACTCTTTAATCTCTCACACTTCTACCCAAGTTTGGAGGAAAAAGGATCCCTTAGCTACTTCTCCCTCTCAATTACAAAAACCAGAAGACAATGAAGACTTGGTGGCCTCAAAGCCAATAGATTCTAACTATTTTGTGGATATTAACCTTAAGGAATGTCAAGCAAGTGATCAACCAGTTTTTGTATTTCGATCCTCTGCTAATTTCTCTACTTCTTTGGATGTTCTTCATACCCTTGAAACTCCTTCTCCTTCCACTCCCTGTCTAGAAGCTGATTCTGACCTTCAAGCTGCTAATGATCCCATCAATCCAGTTCATCAAAGCCCTGCTGATAGATTAAAATCCTCATCTTCTTCACCTACTAAAAGAGGTAGAGGAAGGCCTCCAAAGGATAAACCCAACAAAGCTCTAGCAGGCTCTAGTAATAGGTTTGAGATTCTAAACTCGATTGAAGAGGCTCAACCTATTTCTGAAAATCATGGTAAAAAACCAAGAGCAGCAGCCTCTGGTGTAGCAGTACTGATCAAAGAACTCAAAACAAAAAATAAGTCTAATCTTGAAAAGTCTAAAAGTTTTATTGTTGGTAGTAAAGGAGGGGAACCAATTCCTTCATCCCAAGCTTAATGATTATCTCTTTTTGGAATGTTAAAGGAATGAACAATCCTCTAAAACAAGGCAAGGTCCTTAGAAGGGCAGTCCTTAATAAAGTTGATATCCTTTGCTTACTGGAAACCTGCTTTAAGTTAGACAAATCTATTAACATATTAGCTTCTACCTTTGAGAATTGGAATATTTATTCCAATTATGACTTTGCAGCGAATACCAGGATATGGTTATTGTGGAGAAAAGACTTAAATACTTATTTATGCCATGTCTCTGCTCAGAGTATAACTATCAAAAGCCATTTCAAAAACAATCCCTTCTTAATTACTGCAATTTATGGTTGCAATGATGGAATTACAAGAAGAAATCTTTGGTAAGATCTCCGAAGCATTGAATCAAATTTTAGTAATCTTCCTTGGATCTTGGGATGGGACTTTAATGTTATCCTACATCCACATGAAACTTCGGCTCATGAGCAATTATGAATGGTCACCTCCCCTGATATGATTGAATTCCAAGAAGTCACCCATGACCTTCAACTCCAAGACCATCCATTTTTTGGTCCTACTTACTCATGGAGTAACAAGCAAAATGATAATTTTCTTGCTCGTAAACTTGTTAGAGTTCTCATCAACCCTCTGTGGTCTGAATCTTTTCCTCACTCATTTGTGGAATTCTTGGCTCCTGGCTCCTCTGACCACTGTATGGCTTTGGTGTCTCTTCACAAAGAGGTTCAAACAAATAGACCCAAGCCTTTTAAATTCTTTAATTGTTGGGCTTTCCATCAAAACTTCCTCAATATTGTTAGCCAGTCTTGGTCTATGCCTATCCAAGGAAATCCTATGAAGAAAATTTTTCTCAAGCTTAAACGTCTTAAAGTTAGTCTCCAAAACCTCAACAAAGGCTTTTTTAGGGATATCTCAACTCAGGTCAGACAAAAGAGAGAAGAAATTGAGAAACAACAAGTCCTTACCTTAAGAGGTGTTGAGCCCATTGATAAGGAGTTGGAACTGCAAAGTGATCTCAAATCCTTAGAGGAAGCCGAGGCAATGCTTCTAAAACAAAAAGCAAAATTTCACTTGCTAAAAGAGGGAGACAGATGTACCAGATTTTTTCACTCTGTCATTGCAACAAAGAGGAAAAAAGACACCATCAGGGTGATTGTAGATAAGCAGAGAAGAAGGCTAGAGTCTTTTGATGATATGTCCTTGGAAGTTGTTAATTTCTTTAAAAAAAACTATTAGGCTCTTATGATCCTAATGTTAAAGAATGCTCTACTAGTCTTCTTAAAGACCTCTTGCTACCTATTCCCTTCCCTGAAGACTATGATGGCCTCACTAAGGAAGTCACTCTTGAAGAGATCAAAGAGGCTATTTTTAGTCAAGGAAACGATAAGGCTCCAGGCCCTGATGGTTTCACCTCACTTTTCTTCAAAATAAAAGCTTGGATTGTGGTAGGAGATGAAGTGATAGAAGCAAAAAAAATTTCTTCCAGGAGTCTTACATTTATCCAGCATTTAATGCTACTACTATTGCCTTGGTCCCTAAAATCCTGAATCCCAACAAAGTTTCAGATTTTCGCCCAATTTCTTGTTGCTCTGTTATCTATAAGGCCATTACAAAGGTCATTGTTAAAAGGATGACTCACCTGCTGCCAAGGATTATTTCCTCTAATCAATCTGCTTTTGTCAAAGGAATGAGTATTATTGACAATACTCTTCTTGCCCAAGAAATTGTGAAAGGATATGGGAGGAAAACAATCTCACCCATGTGTGCCCTGAAAATTGACTTTCAAAAAGATTTTGACTCAATTCACTGGGGCTTCATTCCATCAATTCTTAAGGCTCTTAAAATTCCAAATATTTTCATAGAGTGGATTGTGGCTTGTTACTCTGCTGTAAATTACTCCATAGCCTTTAATGGAAGCTTGATTGGGGTTTTTAAGGGCGCTAAGGGTCTTAGACAAGGAGACCCACTTTCTCCAATATTGTTTGTTATGGTTATGAATTTCTTATCCAAATTACTCAATAATGCTGCTGCAAAAGGGATCTTCAACTTCCATCCTAAATGCAAGAAAATTTGTCTTACTTAACTCTTGCTGATGATTTACTAATTTTCTGCAAAGGTAACATGGAATCTGTCATGGGAGTCACTATTGTTCTTGATTACTTCTATGAAATTTCTGGTCTCAAACTTAATATTTCTAAATGTGAGATCTTTACTGTCGGTATTTCTGTTCAATCCCTTAATAATATTATTAATTCTTCTAGTTTTAAGCATGGAACATTACCTGTTAGATACTTGGGGATACCTCTGGTCATAAGGAAACTTACTGTTAAAGACTGTCAGCCTCTCATTGACAAGGTCAAGTTTAGACTTCATCAATAGTTCAGGATGAAGCTGAGTTATGCTGGCAGATTGGAGCTTATTAAAACAGTTCTTTTTAGTGTTGCCAACTACTGGTGTAGGCAACTTATTTTTCCTCAATCCATTATCAACAAGATTGAACAAATTTGTTCGAGATACTTCTGGAAAGGTTCTGACATTCCAGTTGCAGGAGCAGGAATAAACTGGGACAGAATTTGCAATCCAAAGTCTGAAGGTGGACTTGGTCTCAAGGACATCAAGTCTTGGAACAAAGCATGCATGTTACTTCTCATTAGGAGATTACTTGCAGGGGAGTTCGCTATGGGTTGCTTGGATTCACAGCTATTTAATCAAGAATCATGATTTCTGGCTCATGGAAGAACCTCTTAATTCTAGCTGGCTCCTAAGGGAAAATCATGAAACTTCAAATTATTGCTCGACCTCTTCTTGCTTCTGAAGCAACAACCACCAAGCAGATTTGGGAAGAGGTTCGACAGAAAAGCAGTAAAGTCCCCTGGCATAATCTGATTTGGTATTCATTTCACATTCCCAAGCACAACTTGATTTCTTGGATGGTAATCTTGGATCGTCTTCCTACCAATGATAGCTGCAAAGATTTGGTATTGATACAAATGATCAGTGCATTCTCTGTTCTGAAGCACGGGAATCCAGAGATCACCTATTTGCCGAATGTAAGATGACAACTTCAATCTGGAACTCAATTCTTCAGTTCACATGTATACACAAACCTCCTTTCACTTGGACAAATTTGCTAGTTTGGGCATATAACACATGGAAAGGGAAATCTCTGCTTACTAATATCCTGAAACTTTCTTGGTATACTCTCAACTATACCATATGGGAAGAAAGGAACCAAAGACTTTTTAGAGGAACCTACAGATCCGAGGATGAGATTCTGGACTCAATCAAGTAGATTGTAGGAACTCAACTTAGTAATAGGAATGTTAATAGGTTAGAAAGTACTAACTTTTCTCTTTATAATCACTGGGGTATAGTATAATTTTTGTTGTTAATAGGTTCCCCTTCTTTAGTTCTCTTGATTGTATTGGTTTTGTAGCAGTTATCTGCTATTTTTGGGTAATAAAAATCTTAATTATCCAAAAACAAAAATGCACAGCCCTTATCATGGGCACCTATGACTATGCAGCTCTCGAGTACATTCCAACAGGTGCTTTTTAACTAAATTTTGTTCTTATGAAGGCCACCTAACTGCAGGAAGCGATGTGTATAGTTTCGAGGTTCCTCTTCTCGAGTCACTAACCGGCAAGCAAGCATCGCATCAGAACACACCGTCCGGAGAACATAATTTAGTTGATTGGGCCAAGCATTGCCTTACAAGAAAACACAATTTTCGGAGTTGCGGATGCTCATATCGAAGGCCAATACACGCATGGAGCGACGTTAAAAGCTGCATATTGATGCAGTATGGAAAGCACCTGAGCAACTTCAAGACTCCGGCGACGACGAAGGGGGCCATCGGAATGCATCGGTTCATAGTTCTTGTCCGAATTCGAGGTATGCTCTCGAGGAAAATACCGACATCTCCATTAAGGACATGAAACCGAAAAGAGTACGATGCAGTACTTTCATTATATAAAAAAAATACTTTTATTTCACTTAATTTTGAATCAAAGTACAAATTTATTTAATATTGAACAAGGTGATCATCTTCCCCCGACCCTTAAACACATCTACTTATAATAATAATATCGATTTTCGTTTTTCAATAACGTCTCTTAATTTCAACCGAGATTTTTAACAAGATCTTCGACATTTTCCAACATCCGTTTAAGCATGAGAACTTCGTTGAACTGCTGTTTGTCCGGCAATTGCGCTTCCACACTCGTCAATTCCTTCTCGCAGTTCTCGACGTTAGCCACGGCAGATTTCATGTTGTATTTCTCCGCATTGCGGTTCCTGATTTCCATGGCCGTGCGGAGCTTGTCAAGTTCCTTCATAGCGGACACGACTTCATGGTCGCATATTCCGTATTTCGCCTTCACCTCGGGCGTCAACGGTTTAGGACCTTCGAGCACCGTAGTCTTGAGGTTTCGAGATACGTCTGAGGCGTTATTAACGACGATTTTGATAATTATGGACGCGATCACCTCCGGCCTGGCGGTGTCGGGGAGGTATCGGCCGATGTACGATTCCTGATAGCTGGAGATGCAAAGATCCTTGTGGCGGAGCTTTTCGCAGAATTTGGAGACGTCAGGGACAGCGTTTAGTGAAGGGAAAAAGGAAAGACAAATGAAGAAAGATAAAAGTAATGCAACATTATTTGCGATGGGATTCATCGTTTTAGTCTGTAAATTATTGCTTCTTTTTTTTTAACAATTTCTGGAATTGGAAGATAACTTGAATGAAGTTGAATAAAGTTGAGTCTTTTTATAGTTTGTGTGTGAAGTTTGTTATTCAATTACTAAAAAGATAAATGCGCTTAGCCATTTATTGTCACCCTTAAAAATAGCTATGGTTATTAGATTGAAGTTTAATTAATGTTATTTTTAAAATTAAAATTTTGATTAAATTACACCATTCTTCACTTAATTATATTCTCTCTCATACTTTACTCATCATACTTTCAATTTTTTTAATTTACTCATTAAACTTTCAAATTGCTCATATTTTGACTTTGGATTATTTTATTATCATTTTGGTGTGACGTGAAATTTTATTATTATTATTTAATATCAAATAATTGAAAATATAAAATAAAATCAGGAGGTGGTTGGACACCATCCCCAGCCACTGTAGATGGTGGACGTTCGGTCCCAAATTTTATGGGTTGTTTTCCCTCGATCCCCTGAGTCCGAATCTGATGGTTTTTCACTTGAAAATGTCCCAAAATCCGTGAATCTTGATTAAAACATTTTGGCTTCCCTCACTTTCGATCTCCAACTCGTGGACTTTAGAGCAAGTTCCAACAAAATAGAGGTCATATTCAAACTCACGATGTTGAGGCGAAGTGACCCATGTAATTTGAGATCGAACGACCACCATCTACAGCGGTCGGCGGTGACCGACGGTAGTATATGACCACATTCTATTTTTTATTTTATATTTTACATATTTTATTTTAAATAATAATAAAAACATTGCGTCATACAAAAATAATAATAAAATAGTTTGGAGTGATCAAAACATAAGGAATTGAAAAGTTCAGTGAGTAAATTAGAAAAATTAAAAGTATAATGAGTAAAATAGGAGAGAAAGTATAATTTAGTGGAGAATGATGTAATTTACCCTAAATAGGAGCAATTCAAATGTTCAATGAGTAAATTAGAAAATTTAAAAGTACTTTGAGTAAAATGGGAGAAAGTATATTTCAACGAAAAATGGTGTTATTTGTCCTAAATTTTTATTTATAAACAATAATTAGATCGATTAATTCCGATTTAGATTCTAAAATATAGTCCATTCAACTTAGATCTTAAACTGTATCAATCATGTGATCTTAGTGATTAAGGGACTTACTGTTATTCTTTGAGATCCTAAGTTCTAGCACGCAAATACCGAAATATGAACGTTCATTGTCAAATAATTGAAAATATTTGAACATATATTATCTTGTATTTACTCTAAACATATTAGAAAAACTTAGATCCTAAATTAAATAAATTTTACCCCTAAAATTTTATAAATAAATTATAATTAAATTTAGATTTTACGCTCTTCATAAACATATTTTGATAATATAATTAAGAGTGCGTTTAAATTTGATGTCATTTGACTTAATTACACGAAAGAGAAAATTACCATAAATCTTTTAGTTAATTGTAACACATGTCCTCAAAGTATGACTATCATTTTAAATTGGTCTCTAAATTTTTAAATATTCCAATTTTATCCTTAAACTATGAATATCATTTTAAATTAGTACTTAAACTTTTGAATATTATAATTTCATACTCAAACTATGACTTTAATTCTAAATTGGTCTCCAAATATTTTCAACATTCCAATTTCATCATAAACTATACGTATATACTAACCACACCCCTGAATATGTTATTACCTTTCATTCCCTTAAACTATTTGTATTTAATATCAGTGTCTGTCACATAAACATGATTATAAGTTATACTATTCGAAAACTTGAGTTTTAGGAATGTAAATGCAAAATTATTCAAATTATATAGTTTTAATTTCCCTGACGGTCAATAAGCACCAGTGGTCTTGAGGTAAAATATTACCCAGCCATATTAAAGGCCCCGATTAGATTCCCTGCTGGGGGTAATTGTTGAAGCAGTGACAATAATTGCACTCTAGTGATCGTTTGGAACACAATGATCAAAGGTTACTCTAGGACTGGTTGCTCCAAACATGGGATTTCAATGTATTTAAACATTTTGAGAGTTTAAGCCTCTGATAATTACACGTTCTCGACAGAAATGTCGGGTTTTCATGTGGAAAGGAGTTGCATTGTCATATGGTGAAATTTGGGTTTGATTCTTTAATGTATTTTGCAAAAATACTTTGATCCATATGTGATTAAATATCGTTTCTTGAAGTGTGATTATGTGAATGGACCAAACCAAACTTGGGTTCTTAATAAACATTTACTTTAAGGTTTGCTTGCATCCAAAGATAAGGAATATGGAACAAGGTCTGATTAAGCCTTTGAGGATTATGAAACATTTAGGTAAGTGTAATTCAAAAGGCTTCAAAGATTATTTTAAACTTGAAATATGCATGCATTCGTTCGTTCATTCGTTCGTTCGTTCACACACACACACACACACACACACACACACCACACACACACACACACACACACACACACACACACACACAAACACAAACACACACACACACACACACACACACACACACACACACACACACACACACACACACACACACACACACACACACTCACTCACTCACTCACTCACTCATACATACAGACATTCATTCATACATACATACATACATATATACATACATACATTCAATGTATATTTATGAGCCATACCTTACAAATCTCCACCTTGGCGAATATCCTGCCCCTTAGAAACATTCAATGTGGGTTGGGTTACCTTACTTCTTTAACAACTTGAAACATTCAACAAGTCCAAGCAATGCTTGAACTTGTCTGTTGTAACTGGCTTGGTGAACATATCAGCGGCATTCTCATCAGTGTGTACCTTCTGAAACAAAATCTCTCCAGATGCAACCAACTCTCTGATCTTGTGAAAACGTACATCAATGTGCTTAGTTCTAACACAATATACCTGATTCTTAGCTAAGTGAATAGCACTTTGATTGTCGCAGAGCAGCTGAACTCCACCTTGCTGACCACTCAACTCCTTCACTAAACCAGTGAGCCATAAAGCTTC